ATCTGTCTCCAAATGGAGTGGCTGCGCCGACAAAAGGCTCGACAGGAAGCGACTAATCCTTCATCTGCACAGCGGCGCAACAATGACCGCAAGACGACTCACACCAAGTGACACACACACACACACACACACACAGAAAACTGCACAGGCGCACACACAGACAATTGCTGCTCACTTCCAGTTGCCACCCAGTGAGAGAGAAAGGGAGGGGAAGAGAGAGATGGAATGACAATATTCCCAGATTCCAATGACTATTCAAATAAATATAATCATATAATCATAGTGAAGGTGGACTTTATGGATCAGGCGTATGAAGGCTGGGAATCGGACATGCACACACTGCCAGGAGGGCAGGAGGGCAGGAGGGCACACACTTTGGGGTAAACAAAGCCAACACAAGCAGGACAGCACCCGGTGTGAGTGTGTGTGTGGCACACGGGGGAGACTGACAGGGAGGCAACATGAGAGGGACAAGCCGTTTAACATCTGGCTAAGCACTGACAGGAAGATAGACACACACACACGAACACACACACACACACACAGGCAGGCAGACGGGCGAGTCCCAGTCCTAATTATTAGAACACTCTTACTTAACTTAACCCTGCCACTGGACCGTGACAGGCAGAGTTGGAGGGGGGGGGGCACTTTTATTTTTTTCCCGCAGGAGAAGGATGAGTCTTCTGCCTCTTTGGCTGATTCTTTAACCCCTCACACGCCGAACAGGGCGTCGTAAAGCACGGGGAATATGGTGCCCACACAGTAAGCCAGACATCCTAACAGCATCTCCTCGTCTTCTAGCGGCATCATCGTCGAACACCTTCCCTTCTCTCTGCCAAGCCGCTTCCTTTTTCCTCCACATTTCTTTCAATCTCATTTTGGTTTGGTCCCCTCCGTCCCCAGACGGAAAAGGACATTTTCACCCCGCGGAAGAGATGACAGAGAACAGAAGACGGGGACGAAGAGGAGGAGGAAGAGGAGGCCTCTCGCTGTGTGTTTTCACAGCTGTGTGTTTGGTACAAGAACATGTCTGTGGTCTCAGCACGTTGACATGATTTGAACTACTAAAAGAGAATGACACGCAAATCCAGAAACTGTGATGCGCTGCCTTAAGAACTCATTATGTCAGTCGGGCAGATGGGAACTGCATTTCAAATCAACCTCCCCGTTTCCTTCATTCCTTCCTTCCAACCTTTCCTTTTTTATGCATCGCTTTCATCCTTTCTTTTATTGCTCCCACCCTCCCTAAAACATTTTTTTTCAGAGGTATGTCTGTCCTGTTGACTTTTCTTTCCCGTCTCTCTCTCTCTCAATTGCATGCGTGGGAAAAGTACCCCGAGCGAAGAGTGAAAAGCGAGAGCCGAAAAAGGAAAAGGACGAGAGGGAGGAGAGGGAACCCGGGTTTTCAGGCATTCGGGGGTCAGGTTCGGCGTGACTCTCTCCGTCTTGTAAATGCGGAAAGTGGAGAGAACCTAAACAAACAGACTACAGCTGTCACACACTGTTGTGGTGAGATGTGCACGATCGTAAACACAGAAACAAACACACACACACACACACACACACAGACCCAAGGTGAACAAAGTGAAGGACATGTAGAAAAAGATTACAGAGGGAACAAAAGATAAGTGCGAGGGAGAGGAAAACAAAGACGCTGGATGCCCGAAACACAAATACACACACACACAGACACACACACACACACACACAGCTTCACATTGACAAGTCGTGCAAGAAACAAATCCCCTCTGCAAACAAGCGAATGCACAGCAAGGAAGGGGTTTGGGGGGGTGTCATTTGTCAACACTCCCATTAATTCCGTAATTCCATTCTCTCTTATACCGTTAACACGCAGACAAAACACGCGTCGCCTGCTTTTCACCCCTTCCGTCCCGTGCGACAACCCTTAGCGTGTGAATACAGTAAACGCTGACGGCCTTCACAATAACACCACGCGTACCCCTCTTAAGGCATGATGGGGCCTTTATGTGCAGGTTTAGCGGCTGACAGGTTAGCAGGTTTAGTTAACAGCCGACGTGCCTGCCGCTGCGGTGGGGGGATTTGTGCGAGGGCTTAGCGTGGAGTAGGCCGCCGTCGCTCGGAGCGGCTGGCTGGATGGAATTGGAGGTTTTTCCAAGTTGCATTAATAGTGTTTTATTTTATTTGTTTGAGCCTGAGAGGTAAAGCAGAAGGGGATTCACCTTCACACCCGGGATTAGCTGGCACGGCGTATGATTGGACTGGAATGGGATCGAAACAAAGAAACACATATTCAAATGGAAAATGACTGAATGCAAGACAGGTGGAAGAAAAGTGGTGTTTAGAGTCGGCCTCGTATTTAAGATCCTGGGGTCCCCAAAAGGAGTATGCACCTGTTAAAAAGAAAACTGAATATGTGTTTTTTCTGCTAAGATAAAATGGCTTTGCAGGTTAAGTGTCGTGCAGGTGGCTGGGTTTATTGGGCCAAACCTGGAAAGTCAGCATCCAATTGGTTCCTTAAGAGCTAAGGACGGAACATGTGAGGCGTAGCTCCGTCTGTAACACATTTGTACGAAATGAGAGGCAGAGGGGATTTATTTGGTAGAACCTCAATGAAAGCAATGCATCGCGTCTGTGTCGACGATATCAACGCGGTTCAATGGCACAAATGGATTTGTTGACTTAAATCTCCAGGTCAAGCGTGACTTGCTTGACCTGGATGCACCCTCGTGTCACTCAATGTCCAACTTAAAATATACTTGAGATATTGAAAATTAAACCTATGAAACACCTGCCGTTTATGTTTATTTTTGCACTGAACCAGAATCTCTGTGTCACTGTGTGACTCCAAGCATTGCTGACCTCTTTTCACCGTGAGCTTCCCGAGAGACATGTGTGAAGCAGCGCGCAGGCTGCTAGTTAGCTAATGTGTGTGTGTGTGTGTGTGTGAAGCAGTGTGAGCGCCGTCCTCATGGGATTGCACCAAAGTGTTGTTTGTTCTTTGCGCCTCCGCTGGATAGCCAAAACCAGTGAAGGAGAACCTATAATTCTTTGCTGCAAGCAGAGTCTCCGCACATCCAATTGCATTAGGAGCCGATGGTAGAGGTGGCGGCTACTTGTGCCAAGATTTAACCCGATTATGTACCGATGCAGCCGTTCCAAAAGACAGCACAGGAGCCCCGCGTACCCGTCTCCTATTCGATGTCTGGCATCGGCCGAAAATGAAGTAACAACATGGCAGAGATTTTGTAAAGCTGGTCGTGAATTCTAACAAAACAGCAATGAGAAGCAATTCCATAGCCGCGTTTTCATTTCTGTTTCACTCTTCTCTCTTTGTTCGATTCCCCTTTCCCCTCTTCTCACTTCATGCGCTTCTTTGATATCTTCCTCCTCCTCCTCCTCCTCCTCCTCCTCCTTATTCCTTCCTTTGCCAGCCCACCGGGTGTCATTTCCCCAAATTCTACCCTTCCCTCCGCTCCTTCCGTCATCTCTCTCTTTCTCACCCTCTTTGTCTCTCCTACGGTGGTCTTTTTTATCGGATCAGTCTCAGGTCGTCGCCTCTGTCTCTCATGTGCTCCATCAAGGATGCATGAGTCAGACACACACCAATACACACACACGCTCACACCACACACACACACACTCTCTCTCCTTCTTCCACTTGAGGTGTATACACAATGAGAAAGGACTATAGAAGTAAAGCCTGCCAAAGGAGAGATGAAGTGAATTCAAGAAAGGACTGACCGTCTCTTTTAGTTAAATTATACACTAAAGGCTCGTCTCTGGGGTTTCTCTCCTAATTTGTCAGTGAGATCTGATGCAGCTTGTTGACATGTGTAGGAGATGTCGGTGCTCATGCTGAGAGCTGTTGTGCGCCTGGAAGAGTGTTTGTGAGTTTGTGCTTGGAGTTCGTTCAATTCCTCTCCCACCTCCCACTTATTTCACACACACACACACACACACACACACACACACACAGGGCGTGCCAACGATTTGGGTGTGTGGTTAAATCTTTTGGCAACAGGGCTGCCAGCGTTGAGCTATGATGAATGCTGATGGCGAAGAGCATGGCCGGTCTCCGAACCAGTCACTCACACACACACCGACACACACACACACACACACACACACACACACACACACAAGCACTAATCAGATTCCCGGTGCGTTGGGGCCAAATGGCATTCCTCCACCGTTGAATGCTAATGTGACCAGTGGAGCTCGTGGGCTTGTGAAACAAGGCTAGGGAGAGCCAGGAGAAATGATGACAGGAGAACATAGATGGGATTGTTTACTGGCGTGTGTGATGCCAGTGTGTCGAAATTAGCATTCTTTCTCAAATTACAAATAGTTTTCCTTTGGTTTTAATTTGAGAGTCAGAGTTGGAGTTGGCTGTTGGTGTGTTTTTTTTGTCCTGCTGTTTAGGTCTGGGCAGGTTTTAATACTACAATCGACTGTAAAATCATCCCTGATTATTGTTGCTTGAGCTGTTTGATCAAAATGTTGGAAGTGGGACATTGTGTATCAGTGGAAATCATTTGTGATAAACTCAAAGAATGCATAATGGAAAAGTAATGTGGCCAGAACCTTCATTTTAACATACCAAAATATTGTACGACATATCATTTCGTTTTGTTGCATAATAGGGATAATTTATGTTCCCACCGCAGGAGACTTTCACAACAATAATGCTTCAGTCTACGTAGTTTGTGCAGTCTGTGCACAAAAATGCTATAATTAGTCTTCAAATGACTCCCTACAGATGGGTGACAAATGTGAATAGAGGATAAACCCAACATCAAGTGTCTTATTAACCACTTCATAGATTATCTGAACTCTACTGAAAGGCTAAACAACATTTTTCCACATGTTCCGTAGGGGGTTTAATTGGGTTAAAGTCCAATCCATGTGATTCCCATCATCTAATCATTCAGTCACCTTGTGTTGCTCTTTTGTCATTCATATTGTTTGTCACACACCTGTATGGACCCATCTTGCTTCATCAATGAACAGTTACTTACAGCGCTCAATGCGGTCCTCTGGGCTGGAGGAAGTCTCTCGATCCGACAGGAGGCCTGACACCGCGAAGATCTTTTTCCCGCTGTCCTCCACTGCTTTCAAGACGCTGCTGGGCGAACTTCCAGGAGGGATCTGGGAACCGCCAAAGTCATACTCTTTCCCCTCTGCGTCAGAGTACCGCAAGTGGGGTGAGGAATCTGCATCCATGCAGCCTTTGAGGCGCTTGGCTGGGGTGAAAGCAGATTGGTACCCGCCTGGCACTCCATCCCGATCATCCGGAGGTGAGGCGAAAGGCCTGAAGGCACCGACGCCGCTGTGATTCAGCATGCTGATTGGCGAGCAGTCCAGGTTAGGTGGGGCAAACTGATGATGGAGGTGGAGGAGGGACGGAGGGAAGTCCCTGTTGGGGAATCCTGGTGGTACTCCGCCTTGGCGGTGGTACATGGATGCAAAAGTGTAGGAACCATTGTTAAATGGCAAATGGACATCTTTCTCAACAGAAACAGGGACGCCAAATGGTCGTGGCTGCTGGCAGGGAATTGAGGCGTCGCGAGAGGCTTCAGCAGTGGAGGCTAGAACCATGAGGGCCGGAGAGGCCAGGGGATTGGGCAGGTAGGAGGAACTCTCCATTTTGAAGGCTGCCCTGTGGAGATCCATGTCTAGGCGGGAGAACGAAGCCGTTAGGACTTTGGGGGAGAGGAGGAGATGATTCCTCCTCAATCAAATTTGAGACAATGTCCAAGGCCCTTGTAAAGTGTCTATGAAAGTGCGTGAATCTCGGTTGGAGATTCGAATTTGACTTTAAGAAGGAGGCAGCTCAGAAAAGAGCAGTTTTTGAGAAAGGAGACTATCTTGAAAAAAATCAGTCAGGCTAGCTTGAATTCAGTTTTGTTCTCTTCAGTGGGGTTACAGTGAGTACCTCTGTCTCCAGCCAAATTCACGAGCTCCGGGCCAGGTATGTCCCGTTGGGTATATTCTGTCCTTCGCAGACTTCACAATGCAGACGACGTCAGTCCTGATGATAAATCTAATAAATGGTCAAGGTTAGGTTTTTCCTCCGGGTTAAAAAGCAGTAAAAGCCTCCCCTCTTGGAGAGTCTGTTGGATGTGTTGCCGAAGCCGAACGGTCCCGTGGAAGGGGTGGACATCCGTGGGTCGTCAGAGCTGGTTCCTCATCTTCATGTGGTTGTAACACTGAGGGAGATACAAAAAAAAAGCATTAAGTCGCTAAAGTCAATTAAAAAACAGGATATCTTCCTCTAAAAATGTCCACACAGGTCGTTGTGATGCCAGTCAACAGCTCTTTTGATCGTTTTGCCAAGTGAATCAAACTATGAACGTGTCTTGTCTTCCTAAAAAATTGAATCGCTTTCTGCACCGTTTCACATTTATCTCAGACCTCCTTATCTTCTCTTAATGACAGGTACTTCTGAAGACAAGAGGCTCGCTGCTTTTTCAACAGTAAGAGATCAATGCAAGACGTCAATCTTCCTATACACAATCCTGTGTATAGGAAAGGCTGGGAGCCAAATGGAACATTTTTTATGAAAGGAGCGTCTGGAGGCCAAGACTTGAAGTCAAATCCTTTGGTACTAAGCATTCTTAAGCGGACACTGTTAAGAAGCCACAAATTTGCACCCTCTTGGGAAACAGAGTCCTCAAGTTGACACCGTTAATGAGATCCCGTGCATCCCTGCCCTTTGACAAGAAGCCAAGAACTATTTCAAACCAAAACTTCTCCCCCTGCCCGTTTCTTGCTGCTCTTTAAAAAACTTCCCCAAACTGTTTCCACATCACATCTTCCCATTCCGATCTCTACAGCACTCCACGTCTCATCTCCTTCCAAATGCTCCCAACCCCCATCCGCACCACTTGTCCTCCATCCTCCTAATCTGTCCTTCTCCTTCGTCCTCCTCCCCTTCTCTCCATCCTCATCTCCTCCTCTCATCTCCCTGCCGCTATCTCTCCTCCCTCCCTCTCTTTTCCCATCTCAGATCTTGGTCTAAGCCGCTTAGTCCTACCATCTTCCAGGATCTTATTGGACCAGAACCACTTGTCTTAAGATAAGGACACACACGCACGTACACTCATTTTAACCACACACACACACCGCCACACACACATCTGAAATGAGGCCATGCGGCTTGATGTTCAGATTGACACCCGACTCGGTGGGGCGAACACACCCCACACTGTCGCAGGGTATGCTACCCTCTCCCCCATCTTTCTATCTAACCACTTTTAATTCCCCAATTTATCTGTCCCCCCTTTATTTTCCCATCTCTCCTGCCAATCTCCTCTCCTCTCATCCCACCGTCTCTCCCTACCTCCTCCCCTCTACTCCCCCGGGTGATTCAGATGGGTGATATCATATCAGACCCCTCCATCTGGCATCCACGAGCCAGAGGAAATCTGACTGAGTGAATAAATTAGCCGTACTTGACCTCCCGACCCCCCCATCCCACTCCGCCCTCCACTTCCCCAGCGGCATCCGTGGATACAGACTAGCATCTTCTCTCTCCGGGAGTAGATTGGAGCGTTTGATTGGCCGGTCGAAGGATCGCAGCGAGGCAGCCGATGAAACGACAAAGATTTTTATCCTCAAAGGGCAATTTGAAAGGTGGCTGGCATATCAAGGCGTCCAATATGTCAAAGATTTTAGAGTAGGTGAAAGATGTGATTGTTGCATAAGCAATCATTTTTAGGATTAAAACGAAATCAAGAACAGCTTACATGCAAATAGGTTATCGTGAGTAATTCTACCTCATTTTTATTAAATCAGATAAAATTAAAAGCCATTTTATGCTACTTAAACGTCAGCTTCATTACCATAAAAGGCACCGCTTCAGTCGCAACATTCCAAACCAATGTGCCTTGGAAAAGGTCAAACGCGGCGTGGCGTGTACATATGCATAAACACACGGCTACACGCGGTATCAAATGTGGATGAGCGTTGACTACCAGTGAAGAAAGTCTTCTTCCTTGATGAGGAGAAAATCTTTTATAGCTATCAGCTGTCCACAACACTCGTTCAAATCAATTTCCAAACCTGATCTCGGCATGGAGTGTGCACACTCCCCCACCTCCCAAACTCACACACAACTGCCAAGACAGAGGAGTGAGGTGAGGGCCGGAGATAGAGAGAGAGAGAGGAAGAGATGGGGAGATGTGAGATGTTTTACATTACCGCAAATGTACAGTAGACTACTGAGGAGTGTCGAGGACGGCTTACGCTAACACGCCTCTGGTCTGGACAGATGCCACAGAGTCACATTACACCCCTCTCTTCCTCCTCCTCTTCTCACACTCTACCAACCTACCGCAATCCATCCTGGAAATAGCACCTTGAAAATGTAGCCACGGCAAAACACCCGTCTTTGCTTTCTTTCTCTCCCCCTGTTCTTTTCTCTGTCCAACAGTTCCCTCCCCCTCCTCCTCTTCCTCCCTCTCCGCACTTTCTCCGCCGGTGTCCTCTCTCTGTCCGCGCTGTATATCAGATCACGCTTTCTCCTGTATAACCTCTAAAGTAGGGAGTGTGTCTGAGGTGTTGATAGCAAGGTAATACACTGATAAGTACCGGGATATTTCAATTTTATTATCATTACCCAGCAGGCCGAGTGGCGGCAATAGGGAAGCGCCCGCCAACATGGAGTGGCCAATCCAATAAGAGGACACTGGATATTCACTCGCACACCACAATGACGAGATGAAAGGAGAGGTGAGGAGAGGAAGCAAGGAGAGGAGTATCGCGAGTGGAAGAGAGGAGACAAGGAGCTGATGTGAGAGGGCAGTGGATGCAAAAAGTGAGGAAAGAAGGAATGCAAGAAGCAAAGTGTGCAGATGAGGAGATGAGATAAGGAAACGAGACGAGAGGTTGTGATAGCAGAGCAAAGGGTACCGATCTCATCTCCCTGGGCGATTGACACAAGCTGGCGGCCTTGTGGCCTGCTGCGCAGACACACGCCATGAGGCCTCTCCAAACTGATCCCTTCAGCGGTCTTTCCGCATTCAACTTTGGCGTCTCAATCCCTTTAATCTTGGAACGGTGAAACGAAACATTGTGTAATTCAGAGCGAATTCCAACAAAACTATTTTTTTTTCCCTTGCTACATGATAAAAGTGCCACGAAGCTTTTCCAAGTCTGTGACGCCTTATTTTTTAAAAACAAACAACATAACTCCCCATGACACGCACTTATGAGTGCAATTACATGCCAACGCAGACACACACCCACGCATTAATTTCAGCGGGTCCCATTTACAATCCCATTTGCCACAGAGGGATGCCACCCACACGTTTTCTGACGTTGGGGGGTATGCATTTTATAATAGGAAATGTCCCAGGGAGAGAGGGGGGGGGGGGGGGCATTTACCACGCTGTCATAATTTGATTGCAGCCCACGACAACGACACAGCTGTCGCCGCGATATTAACAGCGATGGGGACGTCAAATCTGCACTTTAAGTGACAGTGTTATGCCAGTGTGCAAAAATTGCAGTGTCAACGACAATATGCTATTGCTAATGTGCAATATGCTTACATGGACCAATGAGACTGGGGAGCCCGCCGGGAGTGGAGGGGGGGGGGGGGGGTTTAATGTGAAATCATTTGTAAATGTCCTTGTAAAGATTATTGCTCTTTATAAAAAGTAATGATGGAGGTTGTTCGCTTGTTCTCGGAGCTCAGGGACTAAATGTCAGGGGTTGGAGACATTTCCAATGTGGCTTTATGGATACAGAGTATCACTTTAGGTCTCCAATGACAAGTGGGGGAAACGGATAGGCCGTGAATTCCTTCTTTGAAGGACAGGAACAAAAGCAGCTGTATGAGTCGCCATCAGAAAAAAAAAGCAAAAGAGGGAAAAGATGGAATCCAGCTTGCTACACTGGTCTCATCTAAGTGTTCCCTTTTTGTTGTTGACTGGTTTGTGAACATTATTTGATGGCTTTTTTTTTTCTTTTGCCCCCAGCGTATTTTGCCGTGCCATCTGACTGCTGAAATTTG